ATATATTAAAATGTGAAATAAATTATGGTTATATATTTTTAAACACGCAATTAAAACAAATACAAATAATTAACATGTATTTAAATCCAAAAACAAATATTTTTTTACTATAAATTAACATCTTAAAATTTTTTTTTTCTTTTTTACGTTACACTAAACTTCAGTATTGTTCAAACCCTTGTAAAAAACATAATAACATAATATTATTAGGTTTAAACAGTTTCCAAAGTTTTGTTCTTGGTTTTGACTTTAGCTTTATATACTTTAAGGTTGTCAATCTCTTATTGACATACACATTTAAAATGGTTTGGGCCGTCATAAAACTTAATTACTAATTACTTGATTACTATATGAATATTGTTTTGCATTCATTTTATTATACTGAACTAAAACTAGTTATTTTACTTGACTGAAATTTATTCTAATAAAATGTTTGTATTGAATATTAGTTTAGTTTTAAACTAATATAAAATACAATTATTATTATTTAATAAAATATTAACTTCATTAGTTGTGTTGTAGAAGGTTCTTATCTATATGTAGAATTCATTCATATAATATTCTATATTTACCTAGTCAATTATTATTCCGAGCTACCGTTTAATGGATATTATACTTTCTATTCGATGAGAAAGTAAGACATAAGTCTTTCTGAATGATAATAATAGGTACTATGTATGTGTGCGTAAAAAGTACTGATATTGCTGTAAATATCAATAGAAGAACGATAATAATTAAAATACTGTCAATTTTTAAAGAAAATACATATTTTTATGATCGGACTATTCGAAATTCGGTTAGGACTCGCCTTATAGCGGAGTTTTTGTTTATTAGTGATTTCAAAAGTTACAGGCGCATCCTGCTGGGGAGAATTTAATTATATGATTCTCTAGTTGTAATTATCGAATGTGTATGTGTGATAACTGTCAAAATTATGGTAGCACCCATGCCGATATAATATATTCTAATTATAACAATTCCACACACATTATAATACAGTAGGTAATTTGGAGGTTAAATTAACAGAACGAAATTTTAGTTCTCATGTTTCCATAATATTTTTCTTGTTTAATAACACCGTACTGCGAAGGAACGGAAACTCGTACAAACAGCATAAATATTCATTGATAACCGCCGCGCCGCATCCATCACCGCCTTTATAATATACCCAGGTGTGTTGCCTAATTGAATTATTATTATCATTTTTGTTTTTTTTCTTATAGTCCATCTCCTCACATTGCATATTAAGTTACCAAAACGCAGCGCACAGGTACATAATAAGTTTCGCTGTAACTCATGCGGATATCGTCATTTACTGAATGTTAAACACGGTCATTACAATAAGGTGTAAACAAAATTATAATTAGTTTGACCTTGAACGAAGAAATATTATGTGTAAAAAAGTTTTTGTTAACGTCGTTAAATCCAAGTATAGATACATTATTTCGGTCACTGAAATGTACATTTGAATTACCTAAGGAATTACACAACGAATTAGCTTTTTTATGAAATTTAAAAAAAGGATTTGATGCAAACCTACGGAGGGCCAGAAAAACTTTAAATATTGATAAAAAATATCTAGTATAAAATAAAAAACTGACTTTTAAATAGTCTTAGGCAAGAAATGTCACCATTAAAAGACCCTTAATATATGAGCTAAAAGTGATAAAATCAGCAAAATAATACTAGATGAGAAAAAATAAAAATACAATTGTTTTAGTAAAAAATGAAAATATTAAGTAATCGCAATGTTTAGTTGACTATTTTATATGATTATCACTTCTAACCAACGCCAAAAAAATATATATAGGTATAAAAGTGGTTATTTACTAACCACCGCCCCTCAAATAGTTAAGACCCAAAACTAAAAGGATTATCCTATTATTAATGAATTTGCACAGAGCTGGCATGTGTTGCATTGCATATATGTATATAATTATGAGTTATAATGTACTCGGTGCGGTGTTATTGAAGAAGTATAATAGTAAGTGTTGCTGGTACGCGCGAGCTTATTAACTGCTTTGTTAACTTCATGTGAGATCTGAATACAAACTAGTAAATTATAGGTTTTGATCAAACGGTATATCGATCATCATCAGTAATATCTTTTGTGTCAAAAGCACATACTAAAGATACAAACGAGAGTCCAGAGAGAGTTTAATGATATACAAGACATCTAGACGACGGCAAAACAATACACGCAATCGACACCCCCTGGCGATCGCCGCGCTCTGTCCTCCCCTTTGGCACTTAAGAGTCGTCGACGTTATTCCTATTCCGGTAAGTCGTTGGCATCGCGGCCCGAGCGAGTTTTCGTACTCGTACAACGTTGGTTTTTACACGCATAAAAAGCCTAAATGTATACCGATGGCCAGGACGTATATGGCCCAAAGGCAGTAACAACAACAACAACAACAAAAAACAACAAAGGGCAAGTCGAGTGTGTGTGTGTGTGCGTGTATGTATAATTATTGATTATTGCTCGCGATTTCAAAGAGGGCCGCGCCGTTTCCGAAAAGAAGGGTGGAATAGGAAAACTCGCATATGGAAAGAAAGAAAATAACGATAAAGACACACGTGCGGCGGAGAGCGAGAGAGAAATATCGGTCGAAGGAGAGGTACGGGGAGCCGAGAGACAGAGGCCGAGAGAGAGAGAGAGAAAGAGATGGTCTATAGGCATTATTTTCACCGCAACGAAAGTCGGAGGCGGCAGCGGCGGTTGTATTAAAATCCCACGACGGGGACCGCCGCCTCGTGTGTGCGTTGTAACCATTGGCAACCGTTCGGACGCAATCATGTGTAAAGCTCGCACATTTACAATCGGTCCAGCATATATACATATACATATACACACACATTTGGAAAACCCGCGTGTCGTATACATTATTTTGCGTTCCTGCGTGGCGAGGAGGGGCAAAGAAATCTCTGGATGGAAAACGACGACGGTGCAGAGCCTTTATCCTTTTTTCGTCCGGCCCCCCCCCTCCTCGTTCTCGCATTCTCCTTATATTTTTTTTTCTTCGCCAACATTTACGCGCAAAAAAAATATATATATATATATATATATGTATTTATACATTATTCTTTCTTTCGTTTTTTTTTTATCCGCCAATGTAAGAAAAAGGAGTTCCCTTTTTTATCGGACGGTCACCATGGAAAAGTATAATGCAGAGAACATCGCCGGTAAAGGTTTTCATTTTTTTTTTTTTTTATTATTCTCCCGCCCTTCCCGTGTATCTCTAACCCTCTCCCCGACGTTCAGGCTGCAATACCATTGGGTGGTCCTAACCGTGTCGTTTTAAAACCAACCTCCCGAACGGTGAATACATTATATTATTTTATTTGCATACCATTTTTTTATATGGAGTATTCCTGTATTTTTATCATATTTTGCATAACCTTTCGGTACCACTACACTCGTTTCGTTACCGTCAATCATCATGTTACTGAGCATTTGCTATTTGTTAAAGTATTTAAAATATAATGTACATTATAGTTTAATGTACAGTGTGAAAATACTCTTAGGTCCTAATGGTACAATAGCGACGTTCAAATAAGAAATTAATTACAGATATTTTAACTTCGATGCACAGCCGAAAAGGTATTTTTTTTATGTTATTACTATATTATTTGGGGTTTTCTAAGACAACCTGTTTTTTAGCAGCTAAAATTGTTAGTGTTTTAGTGACTCAAAGTATAAAACGTATTACACTATTAAATATTCATTAAATTCTCTATCATGCCAACCGTTATTGATTATTGTATTTGTACTACATAATATTATATAATATGTATTTGTAGGTTATTATATACGTTGTACTTGTATTGCCAGTTAGACTTGCGCCTGTTATATTTGTATACATAAAAAATATAATTATTAATCGAATTAAAGTATCCAATGATGACATCTTCACGTTTAATTGTTGAATTTCAAAAGCTGTAGTTTTTTCTTCAGAATTGCCAGCTTCGTCAGGTTCAGTCTTAAAGTAACCTCCAATTAAAGACTCCTAAAACAATAGTAAAAATTAAAATGAATATTAATTCCTATTAAATACGGTTCAACACGTTTATAGACCTTGTAGCTACTAAAGCTGTTATTAATTTTGCAATTAGAATGTTGATTGCAACTAGCACGTTGACGATACTGTTAAAAATGTAACTTTTTGCGATTGATTGTAGTACATTTTTTAAAATAACATTACAATATGTTGCTAGGAAGATTATGGTTTTATAATGTTAATTCTTTTTTAATTGACAGTCGGCCGCAAAACGATCAAAACAAATTCCACGGTACTCGGCAGTTGTAGTACTTTGAAAAAGAAAACGAAAACCTACAAAGAAACGATTAGAAATAAGTCGAAATAATTCTAACCCTTGGGACTACCCAAATAATGTTTAAGCCGCAAAGCAATCGATCTCTTTGAAGTTACTGAAGAGAGAAAGGGCGCATTTTTCGGTTACAAATAATCGAATAACATATTTGTTGGAGTCGGACAACTTAAGCGTTTTACCTTAGCTCTTTAAACTGTTTCATCGTCATTTTATTAATTCGAATTTTAGACTTCAGACCATTGTCTATTAAAAAAAAAATAGTAAGTAATTAAGATTAAATAATTATTGAGATGTAATTTTTATGACATTGTAAATCCAACGTTCTGTAGCCGTTTATTTCAATTATGCGTTAAACAAAGATTGTAATTTAGTAATAAAACAAATAATACGAACTTGAATTAAGAATATTTTAACTATATTTGAATTAAAATTAAATAACTTTTTATTTATTATTAGTCACACTAAATTTTTTCTCTCGTCTGGCTGTCAATTGTCATGGTGGAAAATCGAGCGAGAAAATGCATATCATAACAATAATATCATTATACAGTTTTACACTACTCGCGTCTCTCGTTCAGATGCATAATATGCATGTTAGGTATGATATTTATTATACTCATGGCGTATTTATTAGCGGCGGCGGCGGCACACATCTTGCGTTTGTTATTCAGCATTCTTCATCTTACGCGTACACTCTTTTCTAATAAAGTGTGTGTGTGTGTGTGTGTAACGATGTCCGAATAATATAGAGTAATGACAACGTTGGCGGCGGTAGTGGAAAATCTAATAATAATAATAACATAATGTATAATATATTATTATACAACGTACATGTAATAATAATGGGTAATAAGTGTATACTTTTTGCGGTGATTGGACACGCGGCGGGAAGCGAAAATTTGCATTCCCACGACCGTCAACCGATGTAACCGGTTATGAATAAAAAAAAAAGGAGGATTTTTTTCATGCCAAACAAACGTGTCGCCAAGAACAGCACCCGGTAAGCGTAGACGGCTACTGCCGTGGGTCGTTTTCGGCCGGCGACATTTCCTCAGCTCGCGCAGTGTTCGTTCCGCACTGGTGGGTGGTCCGTCGCCTTTCGTTCCGGCACACGGAAATTATTAACCCGAACCGATCCGATTCGTCATTATCGTTGTTAACTATTATTACAATCACATCGCACACCCTGTGTATTATTGTGTGTTGTTATTGAATTATATTATATTATGTATGATAATAATATTAGTACAATTACTACACTATACCTATAAAATATATATACCGTATACGGACAGCGACAGCGTGGTGTATTTCGGTGGCCGCCTAAATCCTTAAACTCCTTCTCGGTTTTTCGTCCGCCTCTCCGAGACGTTCGTATTAATTTCACACCTGTGACCGCGCGTCTGTCGGTCCGCGTCAAACGAGGATGGCCGTATCGTATACACAGTACAAAAATGCCCGCAGTTCGTTTCCGGCTCCTCGTCGTATATAACAATTGATATCTAACAACATTATATTTTGTAATTAATCGACCGATGAAAAACATTACGATTAAGCGCCGTAGGCAACAAATTTTAATACATATCATGTTTATTAGTTAACAGCGCTGACATGGCAAAAGCCAATGAATTATGCATTATTCATTAGGCGTACGCCCAATATGGTATGGACAAAAAAAAAAAAATTCGACGATTATTGAATTTTGCAAAACTTCAAATTTATCAAGTTCAGTGTACCTTAGGAACAAAATAAATGCAATTTACATAGAACATATCTGATATGACTACAATATTTTGTTCCGAACCCCAATATCTACCCTGTGGAGATAACCAGGATATTTTGAAAATTCTCCAACATCCTTTCAAAAATCACGAAACCTTAAACCTATTTATGTAACAATAAAAGAATACTCCGCACAGAAATTGGAATTGAACTATTAACAAATACATTATGCAAACAAATTTCCTTCTCACCATCGTATAGCACAACAATTTCAAATGCGATACACAATTGATGTAACACGACAAAAAATTACACAAATAAAAATATTAAAATTAATGATCTCAACGAAATAACCAGGAACCACTATCCGGACCACGTCAGAATTTCCACAGACGCTTCAACAAATCAAAATGGAGTAGACCTAGGAATAATCAAAGGAATCCACGAAATATATTTTAAACTACACAACACTTTAAGTATTTTCACAGCAGAACTAAACGCCATTTAATTCGCCATAAACAGTATTAACATTTGTCATTTAATGAACAAAACACATCTTAATCAGTGATTCTCTCAGTTCCGTCAATGCCATTAACAATCCGTATACTGTAATTCTACTTGTCCAACGCATTCAAAGCATCTTAAGTTCAAATAAGAACATAAACATTTTGTGGGTCCGATCACATGTTGGTATTGAAGGCAACGAAAAATGCCGCAAAAGCATCAACCTCGAATCCAAGAACAATTCAAACCCAACATGATTTGCTTAAAGATAACATCGCAATAAGTAACAAAGGATGTCTAGATGGCAACACTACTTGGACAATAACATTACGAATAATAAATTAAAATTGACAAAAAAAAAATGTATACCAAACCAGAACAGTAAACACAAATAGAAGACTCGATACTATCCTCACGATACTACACATAGGCCATACAAAATGTACACACTCTTACATACTCAATAAAGAAAAAGCACTTATATGCGAATACTGTAATAGAAAAATCGCCGTCAAACATATGCCTCAAATACATAATCAACGACATACTAGCAAAATGGGAAGACGCCTTGGACAACCGAAATGAAATCAACTTCCTCAACTACCTCAACAACATCAATTTGATCGACCTACTTGAAAAAAAAATCTTTAGAGTAATGTTACAAACCGTTATTATTATTCCTTAACTACCCAATTGTATAATTGTACGGCTAACGGCTAATGATGATAAGGAAATACATATACATATTTGTAAAGTACAATATTTGACTTACAGTCGTCAGTCATAATAGGATTTTTAAAGATTGTAAAATGTATTTGCAATACTAATAAATATTGTAACAACATTTATAAAATAAAAATATATTTTTGCAGTTTAGGATTGAACTTATTTAACTTATTGAACTTACTACATCTGTAAGATGATAGATATTAGGTTAAAACAATTTAATCATCGGTTAAGGAAGTCTTTCTTTTTTTGTCCAAAATTGCTCGGGAAACACAAATGTAAGATGCGAGGCTGCCCAAAATGTGTTACATTTAATACTTTATTAATTATAATGGACCAATTCCGTGCATTTAAAATTCGTTTAAGGGTGGCTATTGACAAATAAAAAAGTGTTATGTATCCACTTATTATATACATTTAATAAACGTTCGTCGTTCATGTGACGCGCATAGGAAACAAAACTATAAAATACAAATTGGTTAAAGTGTGCAATTTACAAACCAATATTTAATAGCTGACTAAGTAATGCCATTTTGGTCTTTCTTTTGATCCAGCACCAATACAATTACTTTAAAATGGTCATTGCATATTCTTCGACTTGAATGTACGGTAGTAACAGCTTTTGGTCGGCTGAAATCGACTTATGTATTCGAGTAGTAGATCGCAGGAGAGTATAGTCGTATCTAAAACAAAAATCAACATTAATACAATATAATAATTTGCTCGTCACGGCGCTGGTATCATAACGGTGTTTAAACACAACAGTATGATGCCACGGAATCATGACTTGTAAACTAGACACACACACACACACATCACTGGTAATTTTTCTATTTATAAAAAAAAAAGGAAAATAAACGTCGCTTCCCGCTAAAATGTCGAAGAAGTTAAATTCGTTTAATGTTTTTCACGCGTATTCGCAAAGAAATTTGTTACACCGCATCAGGACGTCCGCTACATGAGGATAAATGGCTGTCAACACTTATTATATACCTACTACCTACCTATAGTTAAATTGGTTAAACGGTTGCGGTGCAAAAGAAGTCTGACGTTGGTTCGCTAGCTGACCACAAAAATATTTTATTTATTTCTGTCAATCTGCAATAAGTAGACACAACACATGCTCACAGTAGTATATGTATTTATTTTTATACAAATTGTATTTAAAGCTCTAACGAATTATATGAAAGCATAGCAAAAATGATAAATATGATTATTTGAAAATTCAAATTGACCAAATTTTCAAACTCACCCTGTAAAAAATAGCTATTTTACAAACAAAAAAAAAAAAACATTTGGCGGTACGATTCCGAAAACCTTGTACCTAGATTTGTTTGGCCGTTTTTGTTTTTAAGGTTAATTGAGAGCGATTGAGAAAAGCTGAACGTGTTTCCACTTTCAAGGTCGTGTCATACAATCAATTACCACCCAGTACTATACCGTTTATTCGGACCCCAACGGCGGCAAAATGGCTGTTAAATAAAAAAAAAAACTGCTTCAGGCCAATTACTATACACTATACATAATATAAACAATGTACATACATATTGACGTTCTAGACCACCGAACATAGCGTTAATATTTCAATTTCTCTTGACAACACCAAAATATAACATATAAACCGATATTTTCTTTATCGCTTAACCATTTGTCGAAATAACTTGACATTTTTAAAAACTGCATTATTGTGGTTTAACTCTTATATGAATGCTCAGTAGAGCCATACAATTCTATTGTAAATATTGGATATGAAGTAAAATCGAGCATTTTCTTCCCGGAATTTTATTCAAGTCTTGACTGTCATTTGTCAAAATAATAATATGAAGTAGGTATATCTCTTTTAAAACCGAAAGACAGTTTTTTTTTATTGTAACTCTAATGACAATACTTTTAATTCAACATTGTAAATTACAAATAAGAAAGTCCGTTATCTAATTTCTCTACAAAAATCGTACGTTTAAATTTGACGCATTGGCTATTTGTTTACAAATCACTAACTTAACTTTACATATAAATAATGAGTTAGCCAAAAAGATGGCGACTGTTGTTGCACACTTGACACTTCGCTTGTAATACATTTTTTTTTTATAAAAAAAATATTTTTGTTACAATGTTATGACCACGTGTTATAGTAACGCTCCTCGTTTTTTTTTTCAATGTGCTATTTTAAAAATAACGCCACAATTTTATTTAACATTATTATCGGTTGTATCAAAATTAGTAGAGACCGGTGGAGTGTAAGCCCGGGGTATCTCGTTAAGGTTGTCTGATCTCGATCGGATGTTTTGTCAAAATAATGAGATTTCGTCTTTCTACTTGTTTTTTTTTTAATTTCAATAATAACGACCGGAGGAGTTAATGTTCTGTACTTCCGACACGGAGTGCATTGACAGATCTGTTCGTCCGAGGAAAGGATACCCCGACGACGGAAAACCGATGAGCCGATCAGATACGATTCGATGATAATTATGTTACACGATCAGCCTATACTTGTGTATATGTGTATTGTTATCGTGGCGAATGAAATAATGCAATATAATAAAAATATATATATCGGCAAAATAAACGCACGAACAGATACGTAGCACGTGAACTACATTATTTTGTGTTGTTTCGCTTTTTACGTCCCTCCGATTTAACTCCATACACGTGTCCAATACATATTATATCATATTATTATCTATATATATATACACTACCTATACCCATGGCACTTATAGGCGTATTATAATGTCATTATTCTTTTTCGGATTCTTTCGCGTTCCTCATTCGTGACCGTTGAAAAAACATATAAATAACAATGCGCTAAATAATAATAATAATAAAATAATGACTGAATAAAGGAGTGAAACCCCAAATGGACGTTAATTTAATATGGTAGGCACTTATATTATTATTATTATTATGTACCGCTTCCATTTGCGACTTGTCGACTCGTCACTGTGTCGTGTGTGTGTGTGTGTATTCATTCGTTTCGAACTGTCCGGCCATTTGTATACCTATATTATATTATGTGTGTGAAAATTTAATGTAATAATATAATATATGATTGATAAAACTGTTTCCACTCGCTTCAGCATAGGTACTCTCCGCCCGAAAGAATGAGGTTAACGTATAATGTAATACTATTATCCTCATTATTATTATTATTTATTGTCGTTATTAATATTATTTTATACCGTTTCGATATGCCTTAGGGGGGTACGTCACGTCGTCATCACAGCGGCACGCCGGACCGAGCGGTACCCGGTAGCCGCGCCAACCAGTCATGCCCGTGCGATGGCAAGTCATTATGCTTGTGCATAGTACACTGCGTATAGCAGGTACCCATCATCGCGTTTAGTAAAACAGTCGTCCGATTGTAATTCGACAATAAGAAGAAGAAGAAGAAGAAATACCCCACGACGTTCCGGCCGATAAAAAAAGAGAAAAAAAACGTACATCGGGTAGCGTCTCAATATTAACAACAATGATGACGATAATAACATTATAATAATAATGATATGTGTGTGTATACATATCATTATAGTAACATCGGTGAATACCTATGTATATCATAATATAATAATACAATACAATAAAAATTATTGTTGTGATGTTTGTCGGGACGAACGAAAGGGGAGAACGGAGATGAGAGTTCTCTTATAATAATAATAATGATATAAAATGACAAATAGGCCCTGTTCACATACGTATACATAATAATAATATCATTATAACTTATATTATTCTTATTCTTATTCTTATTATACACGTCTCACAGACACACGAACACATATAATATTTATATGTACAGTTTCCCATTGTGTTATCAATCGAACACGGTGCGGCCACCGTCGTCGTGTGATAACCCCGTCGATGGTGGACCGTCGTCACCGGCACCTGATATACCTGTCATAATTCTTAATGAGGTTATACACGGTATGTGACTTAATTCGAAAAAGGGTAGCTAGCTGTATATTATAGGAATGTGTACGGTCCGATTGTCAAGGTTGGTTAACTCGAATGATTGCCAAGATTAAATGCGTGGAGCGCGTGGAGGGCGGCAGCCGCACCTCGGCCGAGAGGATAGGTAATAGTATTAATGTTATAATATACAATTTTTTTGTTTTCTTTTTTTTACGCGCATTTTCATTCTTTCAGCAGATCTTTGTATCTTTTTATTATTTTATTATTAACCCGCGTGGACACGCATCGGCGTTTTTTATCTGTGAGAAATTCGTTACAATAGTACAAATGTAACGCGACAAGAACAAGTACAAATTCGTCCTTATTAGAATTTGTCGTTCAATATACATTTGCGAGTAACACTCAGAAATGGCCAAATTGTATTAAAGTAAGAAGCATCAATAAATATCATATTTTATTATATTGAGTTTAGACTTATGGACCAAGTATGGACCGGTGCACGCAAGATCTTAGTATCGATAAAATGGTGAAAAGTGATTTGTATTCATTTGCAATGTATAAAATTACTTATTCATATAGGCCAGCAAAACGTGTACATGAATATCAATATAATATTTTGTACTGTTGTTAGGGAATTCATCTTGACCGTCGCCTAGGTACCTACCACCGAACAACAAGATATTTATCGCTTTTACCGTCAAATGTTGAAACCAATCAAAAGTATTCCGTGGCCAAAGTCATTTTTCACTGCCCTCGACAACTGTTCACCATATTTATCCTCGCACGACTAATTTTTCAAAGTATTTACAAGATTTTTCAATGGACCCCTATACTCAATCTGATGGTATCTATTGAGGTGGACCCAGCGGTCATTCCGGCCGTGTTTGAGGGAGAAGGCGACACGACTGTGTGGATTAACAGTCCAACGTCTTTGGCATGTCATCTTCCGAAGAAGCTGAAACCACCAAGTCCACCGAGGAGCCAATGACAATCTAACCCTTGGTTCCCTTGGAGTTCTTCTAGCATTGGATTTGGATGAGTTGAACATTCGTAAAGTATTAAATGATAGTAATAGATTCGGTTCCTTTTATCGTCGAGAGTCCGACGATCGTTGTGGAAGAGGACTAGACGAGATGTAGCCTGTAGGACAAGGTCTACGGTAGGTTTGTCACAGAATATGTTTTTGCTTAGGATAGGCCCATATTTAATTATTATTATTTATTAGTTATTACCAATTAATATGTATTAATCATTTCAAATTTTATTATTAATTATGTATTATTTTCTGTTGGTACTTCATGGTGTGTGGAAGCGGAAGTTAGTCACCTAGTAGGTCGCGACACCACGTTCGCTTTAATATTTATATTAAAAAAAAAAAAAAAAACTAATAATTTTATGTTTATATATTTGTTTAATTTATCTGTGAACTTTGTTATAAAATAAACTACAACGTGCATAATTGAAGTCTATTTTTATTTTTTTTTTATTTTACATACTTACGCCTTTTGAAGAATATTTTAGCAACATCTGAAACGGTAGAAATGGAGAGATCGTTGTGAAGGACAGGTTATGATTGGTAACGTAGTATTGGGCTTTCATAGTTTGTCTAAGAGTTTTTGACTGAAATGTTGGAATTCTCTTGATGTCGATGGGCTTTGCTGCCCCCCCCCCCTCGAGCTGAATACCGTACATCCACACTGGTTTAAGCAGCATTTAATAGATGATAAGTTTAATTATTAAATGCACATGTTTAGAGGTTAGTAAGTAACGTAAG